CTGGGCATGATTTCATGTGCCAACTTGCAGATATGCAATTTCCGGCCCCGAAACCCTAGCTGTGCAATAAATGTCTCAAATATTCCAGGCGGGTCCGAAAAATGCGGGGGGCTGACACGTGTCATTCGATGGCCTCCTTTGATAGCATGAGAAGTTTCGAGGCCAACAGAGCAACATGGCCCACACTTCCTTCACAAACCCGACTCGTTCCCTCTCTGTACCTAGAGACTACATCGGAGATGGTGTAGTTTACAAGCGGTCGCAGGTGAGCCCTACTCGAAACGCTCTCAAACTTTTACCACACCCTACAGGGGCCATGTTATGACACCGTGCCAACTCTCGAGGATTTCCGGCATCATACGATTTTCCAAGGATTTAAACGGTTGGATGAGGCATGGCCCCGAGGTAATTTTGCCCTCCCCAGTGGCTGAGCCTGCCCCTCCCTCGTCTGCAAAAGGCCTACGCATGTTGCAAAGACATCACATAGGAGTTTACATGTCGCTTCTGGGCATGATTTCATGTGCTGCCTTGTAGATCTACAATTTCCGGCGCCGAAACCCTAGCAGTGGAATAAATGTCTCAAATATTCTAGGCGGGTCCGAAAAATGTGGGGGCCTGACACATGTCATTCGATCGCCTTCTTTGAGAGCACGATAAGTTTCGATGCCAATGGAGCAACATGGCCCACACTTCCTTCACAAATCGGACCCGTTCCCTCTCGGTACCTAGAGACTACAGCGGAGATGGTGTAGTTTACGAGCAGTCGGAGGTGATCCCTACTCGAAACACGCCCAAACTTTTACCACACCCTACAGGGGCCATGTTATGACACCGTGCTAGCTCCCAAGGATTTCCGGCATCGTACGAGTTTTCGAGGATTTAAACGGTTGGATCAGGCATGGCGACGAGGTAAATTTGCCCCCCCCCCCCCCCCCCCCGGTGGCTGGGCCAGCCCCTCCCTCGTCTGCCAGAGGCCTACGCATGTCGCAAAGATATCACATAGGAGTTTACATGCCGCTTCTGGGCATGATTTCATGTGCCACCTTGCAGATCTGCAATTTCCGGCCCCGAAACCCTAGCTGTGCAATAAATGTCTCAAATATTCTAGGCGGGTCCGAAAAATGCG